CGCGCACTCTTGATTGAGATTCAATGTCGATAATTGCAGTTTCCTCTGCGGCTGTCACGCGCGCAAAACGCCACGCTTCACGTGCGAACGACGCGAGCCAAGTGCACAACGGAAATGGAGTTTCCTCGATAAGACGACGCCGTAACGATGCGGCCTGTTACTAAGGAAGAGCGTTTACTTGCCTTCCCTTTTTCATTTCAATCTACATATTTTATTTGTTCCGACTGCGAGTCGCCCCGCTTGTCCACGTATAACGGGAAGAGCATTTAACGCCTATCGCAGACAAGCAGCGCACGCTAGTTTGCGAATATTACATTTTCAACTCAATCTCCGGCTCGGGACATAGATCGCTGGATTTGCACGATTCAATTTTCCCGTTACTTTGGGATTTTCATGGTCGCGATTTGCGTAAGTGACTTTCTTGCAAAAAAGAAAGAAAAAATCACGTTTTCGATGTTGCACTGTCCACGCCGATTGAATGCGTGTTGATCGTATAAGCACATACTTATTTATTGAAGAAAAGCGTGCTCGCGACGTAACAATTTATTTTTGTCAAAGTTTGTCTCTTGCCGTGACTATTGCGTGTACATTCTAATGAAAAGATGGGGAGATCTATAAGTATCTTATGATCGAAACACAAGGTGTACGATTACGCGTTAGAATAAGTTCCCTAGGACGATTAATTAACTGACTAAATAATTTATCAACTCATTGACGTCAATTCATAAAGCCAGAGCTTTGGCGTTTGCCAATATTCACGTTGCAGACAATGTTACTTGACAAATGTAATAATGTAATATCAACAGTCGTGCGATACTTGTTGAAATCGATATCTGCTGTAAAAATAGTGACATATAGAGTACGAGTCAGACTTAATCGAAGACTATATTTGATACAGGGTAATAAAAATCATTATCACGCTATTCAGCAAGCCTATATCGACGTATACGCTTGTTGGTGTCACTTGTAAGAGAAGAATTTCCGTTCCGCGATCTCGATCAATTTTTTGTGCCTGGGTGTGTCCATAGACAAGGAAAAATGTTATGGATCGCACGTTTAGACACTATCCGCTGAAGGCTCATATTCCATTCATTATTGTTTTTTTATCATGATGCAATTACATGTGACACTTCTGTTCAAGGAAACCTTTCTATTCATGGATGCGGCTATAAAACATTATTCTCAAGTAACAATTGTGAGCAGCTGTATCGTTAGGAAAATAAAAAAAGAACCTATTTTGTTTTAAGAATTTGAAGAGCGTAAGTCAATATCTACGTAAATATTGTAAAGTGGCCTTCTTACTGCTGATGAAAGAAAAAAGATATTGTTCATGTTGCGCGAGTGATGTCAAGCGTGAACCTTCAATTTATGGTGATATTGTGATATGGTTAATTTTTTAGAGTATACATTTTTCGACCTACTATGTAAGACTATATAAGACTGTATAAACGTATATAATTTTACAATTGCTTCACATATTAAAAAAATTTTTTTTAATGAAAAGTAGTTATTTTATTAATGAAAGTTTTACTTTTAACGAAAAGTAGTAGAAAAAAGTCGATAGTTGGGTCACATTTTAAACGGAGCGAACATTTATTACATCCGAATCTAATTACGCTGGATACAACTTTGAACTCGCTCTTTTGGGTGACAAGAAAAGCTATAATGGACGGTTACGCCTCCCTTCCGTGTCGCTTGAACAATGGCGTTGCTGCGGAATGAATTAATCTGATCACCAGCAAGCGAATTATCGGTTATTCATAGGATATCACTTATTCATGTAAAACATTATTTATAATAGGCCGATACACACGAACTTGCAAACATTCATTTCCACGATTTTCGCTAAATAAATTCGTCACCCGAATTGATTTCGATTGTTTTAATCATTTGACCCACATTTCCATTGTAGCTGTATAGAAATGAAAAAAAGAAAAGAAGACAAGAGTATTGTTCATTTGAATGTATTGTATTTGAGCAACTTCGATGTTGTTTTGTCATTTAATAATGTTTCATACTCTATATCTTCAAATAAAAATGTTTAAAAAATAGTTCTGACTTTTTGATACAATACTTTATTACCGTTACTTGTTGATTTTCAAATACGTTGTTAGATATTGTACGTAGAAATAATTATTCTCCAGAGTTATAAATTGTTCATTTTTTTCATTCAAGTTTCTCATTTTTGTTCAGTTTCAAATTTTTGTTTTCAAGAAACAGAAGCTCTGTTTAATTACGATAATTAGAAGTAACATCTAGCCACGCATGTTAATATTGAATTTTACTCTTATGAAAATTCCCTTGATTCGTTTGTTAATTGAGTCACGCTAAGGTTAATTCTATCTTTTACTACATTTTTAAAAATGTAAGCCAAGCACAAGTATATTACTGGTTTCATTGTTACTATTTTTCAACGCAATGATCAAATTCTAGAATGAATGGACTATGCAAATAGATAAAATAACTTGATATTTTGCTATAAATCAATTATCACAACTAATGAATACTAATCTATTGGTATATTAGATATTATTTCACTATCAGTTAATTTAGCCGATAAGGTATTTCTGATAATACGTATACTTGACGTTATCAGAAAATGATTTCACTTTTAAATCAAAATAACGCTTAATCGAAATCGGATCAAATTTTATAACTCGAAAATATTTAAATACTCTGTGATCGATGCTGAAATTGCATATTTGAAAGTTTTCTAAATAAATGAATATTACAAATCTGAATAAATTTCCAAATTAAGAAGATATTTCTTTCAATAAGTATGCTACAAATTTGAAAACTTGATTCGTTCTAAACAAAGAACAGCATATATAAATGGTTTCTACATGAGTAGATTTTGTTAATTGAAATCGATTTGATTGAAAGATCTAAATTATGTAACTATAAAAATCCATAGGACGTAAGAAAAATGTTTGCTCAGATGTGCAGCGAATTGAAGAGCTTTTTTTTCGTGGTAAACCAAAGAAATCGCATTACATGAAGCCTTATCACCGAATTAAAGTGAACGAACGGTATGGCACTGACGTGCGAGAAACGTTCATATGGTGAAAAAAAGTAAACGAACGAAGCTCTATCGCTATCGAAAGTTTTTGCAATTACAACTTTTCAAATTCGCGAGCTTGCACTCCTAACCTACGGTCAATAATTGTGACCGCGTCTCGAGCGTCAAGTAAAATTTAATCGAATATTTTTCCTTATATTGTCATTTATACAGAGACGTCATTATGTAATTAATGGCTTTTGAACGACGTAATTGCTTTAATATTGTCGATTTTTATTTTATTCATTATACCATTTAATTTAAATTATAATATTAAAGTATTATAATTAAATTTTATTAATTAAATTTATTTTTTTTTTATTTTGATGGGATTTTGATTTCATATTATAAAGATCGTTGATCGACATTCTACCAATGATTTTCAGAATAACCTTTTGAGTATATAAAATTGTAACAGGATGAACTGGGAATTTTTATAATAACCATTGTTGCGTGCAGAAAATTGAGTGTTAAAAGGTGTATAAATACTGTCATTAATTTTATGAAACATTAAATGCAAAACTTGGCTGGCTATATTGCAAAATATGGTTCAATGATAATTAAAATTTACGGGTACGGATGTCTTATATACGGTGAAGTGATGACTCTATGTTTCTCACTGGTAACTTGTTCATTTTGCAGATTGACGCTATCAGTTGTCTTCACTACTGTAATATTAAAAATAAAAGTCCCAAGTATTTTTTTCTATTTTATAATGATTCAAGAGTATAGTGCTGTTAATGGATCATTCAAATACGCTATCGAGAAAAGAAAACATCAGATCGAGTACTATGAGAAATCCTAGATGCGCTCTATAACATTGACTGACACGAAGTAACATATCGTTATACTTTTGTTTACGTACCTCAGTCGACCTCCCTTGTCAGGTATATAATCAGACAAGATATACATTTCCTCCATCGCAGGCATGTATCCACCACATACCCACACTTACGCACGCACAAAAAAAAGCCCGTCGTGCTAAACCACGATTTCAAGGTAAAAGCCTGCCATCTCTTCAGGAGTGAGGTAGACACCTGCGCGTGTTATAAGCGACGCGACTTTTAGCAGAATACGGCGAGACGTGCACGCAACCCCACCAACGCTACTCATAACGCGAGCCAGGCGTATTGAAAGTACATAGAAGCACTTTGTGATCATTCATAATTTAAGCTCAGCGAGCGCCAGTTGCTAACGAAGCGAAATAGCTCGAGGGAAGGAAAAAAAACACGGAGGGCGAAGCGTGTGTGTAATTAAAATGAGATTTCGCGATTACGAATTCTCGTGCGAGCACGCGCTAAAAATGAATTCATCTCTCCCGCTCGGGGATGATTTTTTGCCGCGCGCACTTCGTTTTATTGCTCAAATCGACGTAGGAAGCAACAGTCGAATTCGCGCTCCTGTCAATTTTAATATTTTCTTTTTGTTTGTGCTGGCTCGATATACCCATAGTTCGTACACGCTACTTTCGTGAAATTAGCGTTTAATAACTAACCAAGCAGGATTGGATTGGAAAAAAAAACTTTCACGATAATTACAGATATTACGACCGATGCAATAGTGCTACATAAGCATTATACTTACACTTTGTTGCTTTACACACGTTTAAAGCAACTGTTAATTGATTTTTCAGAAACGAAGTGAACTACTACTAGCGTTTTATCATTTTTGTACGTCACGGTTGCCGAGTTTTCTAGGTTAAATCGATTTTTTTTATTATTTCCATCGCGTACCTTTCGACATGTAGGCTGACTCGAAGTCAAGTGTTATTAATTCGTAATGAGATAAGGCAACAATGTCCCGCACACGCGTGACACGCGCTTTATTTTTCCTTTTTTTTTTCAACTGTTACCTTTTTTTGCGTCGACGTTTACTCTTATATACGTTTACTTTCTACTTAGCGGTTGTATTATTTTTTTCAAGCCAATATCAATTATCTTACCTCGATGCTCCGCAACTTTCTCAAAAAATGATTTCCATTGAAAGTCACGTTAGCACTTGATAAGGCATGAATAATTAATCCCGTCCGAAACACTTTTCAAAGCACTGCTGGTCTTGCTTCGGGTGCATGTAACAATAAATGGAAATCGAAGGTGTACAGTGAGATGCGAGCGAGGAGAATGCTCAGCGCCGCGGCGCCGCAAGTCGACTGGCGTCTCGCCGGCACAGTAGCCTGATAGAATAGAGCGTACGAGAGAGAAGGCAAAGGCAAGAGCGAATCGACGGCGGCGCGCACGTGGCACGCGCCGCTATATACACCATCCAGTTGGCTCTGTCCGTAGACACGCGCGTCGCCCCCGTCGCGCGGCCAGGATTCTCGACACTTTTACGCACACACGCGACACATTGATCCACGTATATACCGTGCACCAGCCGTTCATTTGTCGTGGGAACTATGTATTTCGTTCGCTCTCCCACAATTTTCGACAGCGACAGAATCGTGGGATGAATTGTATCGAGGCAACATATTGATGTGATCGGGTCCTCGAGCTTCATTTCTCTTCTAAAGAACAACAACGTCTCGAGTGATGATACGTGACCCGAATGTTGCATTTTTCTCTCTGTCAATACTCGATAAATAACGATGGCGTAGAAAGCTGCTGGCATAATAATGCACTTGGCGTTCCTGTTAGTAGAGGGCAGATTTAAGAGATGAGGTTTGAGCAGAAATAATTTTATTGCAATGTATGGTTTAAATTTCAATTTTCTTCACAGTTCAATGATAAGGATAAATGATACTGGCATAACAAAAGTCCGGTCGTAATCGGAGTAAAAGCCAGTTTACACGATGGTCATGGATGCTAGCCGCCCACGTGCATTATAAAAAAGAAACACTCAGACAATTAGGAGGAGCGCGCGCTGCCCGCTGCACTGTCGCCGCCGACGCTGAATTTTCCGAGGCCAACGCCCCTCGCTGGGCCTTGCTCGCGAGGGCGCAGAGCCTTGTCCCATCCTATAAAGGCCGACCTGCATGAACAGCGAAGTAAGCTCTGGAGTTGAAAAGTCGGCAACCGAACGCTCGGGGCGCGACACCATCGCGTCCTACTCGAATTCGAGACGCGAGCACGATTCAGAGCCGGTCAAGTAGGTCATCTCCGTTTCAGGTTCGAACGGGCAACTCGCTCCCTCCTCAGCCCTTCGCCACCTTCATTGCTATTCGCAGAGTTCCCTTGACTATCACGATTCGTACTCAAAGTATTTGTGCTTCGCATATTTCGCAGCAACGCGTGTTTTCGCTGGCATTTGATGTTCTTTCGCGCTTATTGCTACACGCCGAGCATCAACGGAACTTTAATATATCCCGCATTCGAGTGCTCGTTGCGAACTCGCCGAACGCGAAACTTTTACGCAATACATCTGTCGAACACAGGTGGGCCCGAGCAACCCTGCCCTTTTTCTCTCCTTCGCCGAAGCTCGACTACCTGCGCGTTCAGGCAGTGACAGTGGGAGCTCTCATTGAAACCTTTCTACAGTTGTCGTGATTCAATAAACTGATAGTGCACAATTAGATCACTCAATTGTCGCCTCTTTGGGACAATCGAATTTTCCGATATCGAGCAACTATGAAAAAAAAGTGCGTTTAATCAAGTGCAACGAAACCTAATTACACGGGCGTATATTTTTGCTCGCGCGGAGGTAAAAGTTTTGGCTGCAAGCGTTTATGCCTTAATCCCGTGGTTTATTATAGCTCTATACTTACGGTAAAGAATCGCCCACAGATATAATGCTTAAGCAGCTGCTGCATTATTAAACGAGATAAAAGCCCCATGCAAAGATATACACGAAACGCTTATTTTCTCCTTGCTTCACATATGATCAGATGGGTTATAATAAATTAAGGCAGAAGCGACCAAAAACATACAAATCTCCATCGTCCATATACGCAGTTCAAGATTATACGCTTATAATTTGTCTCTGCGAGATAAAGCATGTCGTCCGACCCCGTGGTTGACCTTTTTCTTCCCTTTTCTTGGACAATTAATTCTTCCTCTCCATTGGCGCGAACAAACTGTCGTGTCTCCTTTTTTTCCCTCCATTACTTCTCGCTCTTGGCTATTGTACCAGTCCACTTCCTGATTCAACATTATCTAATTATGAGACAATCGAATCACGCCCCCGAGATTTTCATGTATAAGCCATTGCCGCCGCTGACGTTGTCTTGCGAGCAAGGCAAACGTTTTTAGAATAGTTGCAACGAAGAAAAGTAAAATTACGAGGAAAGAGAGAGCTGCCAAGATTAAAAGAATGTTAGCTTATTCAACAATTTTTAATTAAAATTGAGACGAGTTGGTGGCTCACGTAGTGCTTAATTGAAGAAGTGACTTTTTTTTAGGAGTTGCCACAAGTGCAAACGAAAATAAATAGACCACCACACGATCTATGGTGCCTTGATTATTCTAATGGTTAATAATAAAGTGGCATCGATCTATAATATACACGTTAATTGAATTCGACTGTATGTATGTGTGTGTGTGTGTGTGCGTGCGTGCGTGCGTGTGTGGGTGGGTGCGTGCGTGCGTGCGTGCGTGCGTGCGAATTGCGTATGTTCGTGCATGCGTGCATGCGTGCGTGCGTGCGTGTCTATTATAGCAAATGTGTAACCGATTAATCTTGAACAATGATACACCTCAGCCAACGACGATGGTTTTATTTATTAAGTAAATTTTTTTTTCGTGGGTGCAACGAGCTTTACGGTCGATTCGTGGCTTGAATTTATCCAGTCGTCGGGCAGTAAATGAGGTCAGCACGTGCTTTTAAAAAGTTCTTCTGTGATCTATATCCGCGTAATCCTAGAGATCGCCGTGGTAAATCCCGTCACTTTATTTACCCAATATAATGGATAACAACAGCTTGGCCTTGAACTTGTGCGCTTCGACCTTTCTCGCTTTCTCTGACATAATAAAAAAGAACAAGATGCCTCTCATTGAAAAAAAGTTCTGTAATTCTCACAGAAATCATGTATAAAGATAGAAACAAGACAGTCTTGCTATGTAGACGTGGACACGTTCGAAATTTCACTTGTGAATTTGATTAAAATATAAGAAAAGATGGACTGTGAAGCGCAGTTACGTTTGAGTACACACAACACGAATACACACGCATAAATACACACAAACAAACAAGAATATCGCTCGCTCGCACGCACGCACGCACGCACGCACGCACGCACGCACGCACGCACGCACGCACGCACGCACGCACGCACGCACACACATTCATACAGAGTGGGATAGGAGTAGGATAAACAGTGAAAATTTCGTTTGAATAAGCGCTCGACATCAAATTTTCTCTCTTTCACTTTTTGGTGTCATCGTCGTCGTCGTCGTCGCTTTCCTCGTCGTTGGATAGGTTGTCATCGTGTTTATTCTTATTCTCGCTGCCTGTTTGACTGTCGTTATTTGGTGCAGGCTTGAAGCTCTTGGTTGATTTGACGCTCTTACCGTCGTCATCGTTGCGAATACTGCTACTACCTGTAGTTTGTTGGCTGTTGTCGTTGCCCATGTCGTCTTGCTCTTCTAAGCCGTTCCCGGTCGATGGTGGGGGACGTTTTTCGCTGTTTGGATTCGCCGAGCGGCTGCAATCGTTTATTGGTTCAATTGATATTCTGAATCGTGGATTAATTTCAAAGCTTTAGCGAGTAGTCAAAATGATAATAAAATCGTTGTCGATTTGGATAACCATTGAAAAATGGCAAGATAAACGAAACGGCAACACAAACCTTCTACCCCCACTGCTCCTTCGTCCATGCCTGCTGCGTTTACTACGGCTACGACTGCGACTATTGGCAGATCGTTTTTTCATACCATGACGTTTCGAACGGCTGCGTGATTTTTTGCCATGACGCCTTTGACTTTTGGATTCGTTGACACCGTCAGCATCGTCGTCGTGCATCTCCTGCGACAACGTGTCCTGCGAGTCACATTAACGACGATGTGTTTTCATTTGATTGGTTGTCGACGAGACGCGCCCGTCGCGTCGGTGTTGATACGCTTCACCGAGCTTACTGTGGTTTGCAGTAGACCTGAGGCGACACGCAGTACTCGGCCCTTCGCGTCCTTAGGCGTCAGATAGCCAGCTTGCACACCAAAGTCAAGCGCACTGCACAGGTAGCGTTCAGCTTTTTGTAGACCTGCGCGGCAGATCGGCGTGTTAGTTATCGCTCTCGAGTCTATTATGGATTTTGATGAATGTCCAGTTCGTTTCAAACTGACTGCATTCTCAAGCGGGACGGGGGGTAAATATTACAACTGAACAATGTCTGACCGAGTTGCACGGGCATATCCTTGATTTGCTTAGTGGGCGTCTTCTTGGCCGTGACCTTGTTCACGCGACCGGCCTTCATCGCTGGCTGACGACGTCTCTCGCGCTCGTCCATAACGTAATCGGAATCTTCGAAATCAGAAGAAATGTCATCCATCTCCATGTCTTGCTGCTGTAGACTTTTGCTGCTCATGTCGTTGCGACGCTGACTCGATGCACCGGGTACTGCTTGTATTTCCTGCTCGCATTCATCGCCGCATAATTCACCCATACATCTGTATAGCAGGTGGTTGGCATGCTCCGATGGTCTTTTACGCCGTTCTGTGGGTTGCAGTTATTCAATCTTATTGTAACCTTCATTTTCTTATGCAAATTAATTTGGATTTCGGCCCGAAAGTTCATCCGTCGAAAATATTTTGTATTTCTGAAAGGCTGTGTAAACAAGACCGTTAATTAATGATGTATCGATTTCAGGTTACGTGTCTGATAAACAAACGTTATATTTGCCATAGTAACCAACTCTATTACACCTTTTTCTCTGCAAAACTGAAGCAGGAGAAAATCAATTATCTATGCGAAAAATTAACTGTACCAAGGAAAATAAGAATGATTTATTTATAGGAACGACGGTCATTCAGAAAAAGTGCGAGTCTGCGAAAGATCTAAAGCAAAAAAAAATCTGAAGTAAACCGAATGTTTATGGACTTACTAGTTTTATCGCGATTTTTCGCTGCGGCATCGCGGTGCTGTTTTATAGGAGCCATTTTTCCAGTCGGTTGAGTCCCCCGCGTGTTAGCCAAGTGCCGTCTCGACGACGACTTGCACTTGCGCTGTAATTTTCACTGGCCCTAGAGATTCACTGCGTTTCACGTTCCAGAGTTCGTGAGAAATCGGTGAGAGAGTAAAGAGCGAAAAGAAAAAAAAAATATAGAACAATGGAAAGGAAAACGGCGTCGAGGGGTGAACGCGTCGACTGGCAATTTTGTTGACGTGCGTCTTTTTGTGTCCACGACGAAAACAAGAGTGATCGCGAGGTAACGATGCGTACTTTGTCCTTTGGGGATTAGCTGCAATCTTCGGGTTAAAGAGTTACTTTTGTTTTCTCTAGTTTCTTGCTTGTATTTTATATATTCTATGGGTTATTCGAACTCTTCTCTTGAATTTTTGGGCTTGTGTAATTTTTATACGTGGAAAAACGATTTAAAAAAAAACAAAATTTTACTTTGTTCTGATTACTATATATTACAAAAGTACGATATATTAAAATTGATAAAACATTAATTAACCATGTTTATGTATTTTGATTTTGCAACGGATTTTGGTATGCACTCAATCAATCATAATTACTGTAAAATTAATTAAATCGATATTTTATTTCTGTTTTAATAGCATATATACCAAGTCTACCCTTGCAATTGATTATGCATTAAAGAAAAAATATAAAAACCGTGAAATCAAATATTATTGAGTAGAACTATTTACTATTAACACTTTGTTTGTTACACAAAATAGTCCGATATAATTATTTCACATAAGAATAACTAAAAATATTTGGAATTTCTGGTACAAACAAAAATAATTTCAAAAATTGAATAAAGACAGTAAACTTGTCAAATGACTAAATATATGTAAAATACGCAAGAACAAAGCAGTTTTAAAAAAAAGAGTAAAAAGCTTTATTGACTACAGTCGCACTAGACAAAGCATAAAGGACGAATTATAAAAATATAAAAACCGCTACAAAAATTTGTCAAAAGACGGTACACTCAAAAGCTCTCGTATAAAAAAGAAAAAAAAATGATCAGGCGAATAGATCGTCGTCCTGACTACGTCGTGCAAAAGAAGAAGACTTGGAGCGTGCTGATAAGGGTTTCCCATCGGCTTCGACGCTTCCGGCTCTTGATATCACCGGCGTCGAATTCTTAATCGGCCTGTGATGACTTCGCCTGGAGGGACTACTATGGCGGCTGCTAGTTGGACGACCACTCGATTTTCGCGATCCGCCGCTTAGCCTGCAAAATACTCAAAGTTCAATGTTCCTACACGTGAAAGCTTAATGGCTTTAACTGCACTTTGACTTTTATGCGTTAGATTGATAAGTGCATCTTATCTCACGGTCTACTCCTCGATTCAACTTTGGATTTCGTTAAAATTACAATGTTCCCGTGGCGGTATTCAAAAAAATTGTTTTATAAGTCAAGCTCAAGGGTTTCCTTGTGTTTTCATTGCACGAACAAAACATAACTCGATGTTATCGAGACTAAGATAGAATCTAATAGATGATATAATTGATATTGGGAACTATTGTAAAGAGCTTTCGTGTTATGTAATACTTCTTTTGAATATACCAAATACCAAAGCAAAGCGAATAGCAACGCAAAGCAAATAAAATAAAGAAATGTCGGCAATAGTCGTTTTCTTTAGCGAGAACTTGTCTTGGGGGAACAGAAAAGTCGCAACAACGATGGAAAGAACGGCGTTATTGAGTTGTTTCCTGTTATTTCAAGTGTTTTGTTAAGATTTCTCCCGAGAAAAGTAACTTTTGTAGGAATATGTCTTGCGGCAGCAGGTACCTGCACTTGTCGATTTTTTACTTTTATGAAAACTGGTAAAGAACTTATTTTCTAAGACTACGAAGTAACTTGGAAGAACATCGAGGCTCTAAAGATTATTTTTTAATTTTCTTTTTTTTGTACTTTTATTAAATACTGAAGGGAAATGTGCATTTCATAACTAACTTTTTTTACCTTCCACTCATGTAAAGTTAAATGGGACACTTTTTGAAGTTTAATTATTTTGTTTATAAATAAATTGCACGTTTCAAGATATTCGTTATTGTAGAGCCATTGCTCAGAATTACATGTGACTGTAGCAAGAAAAGAACTGAATCTCATAAAGTAAGTAATTAAGGAAAGATAGAATCTTCTTTATTTGTTGCCAACAATGAGGAGAAGTTTAGCAGACCTTCTAAGCGGCAAACAGGTAAACTTTCTCCATGCGACAGCGCTTTTCAGCCAAATAAATTACCTCATTCTTCTTAGTCTAGCTTATCTAGCCTTGTGTTTTACTTTGAATGTGATTACATTATTTATGTATTTATTGTTAATAATACATTCAATAATTTAATAATGTATCATTAACAAATATTTTACATTTAAAGAGAAGAATTTAGAAAAATATAACTTGGTCGTTTCATTCTAACGTGAATGAAACGAGAATGCAACTTTGATAAAAAGTTAGCTTTCACATTCAACATAACGAGCTGCACAAAAAAGCACGAGCCTAAGTGTGTTGTCGTTCTTTGGATAGTCTAATGAAGCTTTCTAATTGAATAACGCACCGTTTGCTGGACAAAAATTACAATATTGACTTGACGAAGGAATCTGAAATACCAGAGAGCGAGATCAAACGTAAGTCATTCGTTGGTTTAAGAAGTATCGTTCGCATAAAAGTCACGGTGTCCGATGGACGGCTGAGAAATTCCAAACAAACTTGTCAGGCTGTTCCCGGCTTGCGGTCGTGCTCTCGTTGGAGGCCTCGCTTCTTTTCCTTTTAGCATTGGTTGCAGTGGCTTCTTCTTCACCCTCGGCATTGCTTACACCGGAGACTGTCACGGGAGCACGCTGGCCGTCGCTGGCCTTTCTCCCTTTGGCCTTGCTGATCTTCGTGACGCGCCCGTTCGCGCGACCTCTGACACCTTCGGTCCGTCCGCTCTGTCGTCGTCGAGGTCTCCGTGCCGCGACCAGCGGTTTACCTGCTGCCACGAGGGCTGGCGAGACTCGCAGTAGCTTGCCGTCGCGATCAGTCGGCACGAGGTAACCCGTGTCTATGGCGAAGGACAGAGCTTTGCGCACGTATCGCTTCGCACGGCGCTTGCCTGTGTAGATACACACGTGTGAGATAGAGAGAGAGTAGAGAGAAAAGGCAGATTTACGAGCTTGCGGGTGCGGTTTTAGGCCACAATGATCTATGAGAGATTTCGTATTAGTGGAGTTCTCGCAGTATTTTGTTATGTGTAGCGCGCATTGTTTGGAAAAGATATTCGAGATGCTTATATATTTACAACACTTTTCTGTCGTTTTTGTTTGCCCTATTATGATTGGATGTTGATTTTGACACTGTTAGTAATAATAGTCAGCCATAGTCAGTCATTGCCTAATTTCGCTTGTTACGGCAAAAACTGATGGAATCATTGAATTTCGAATAAAGAATGTTCGAGTACACGTGAAAAATGTACGTACGCATAGACGTCACCGGATACGATAAAGAATTCACTAGGGCAATCGAATAACGGCAAAAATCAAAACAATCCTTGAGAATCGTGGGGATAGCTTAAATCACGCTTAGCCGAAGAGCGTCATCTCCGAATTGGCAGTATATTACTCAAGGTATATACATAATCCCCACCACCCTGTTTGCACTAGATAACAACGCGAATTCGTGCGGCACATGAATCATACAATACTACGAGAGGAGCAGACCTTCAGCGATGCCGGCCCTGATGTAGCGATTGATCTGCAGGAGAGTGGGATCACGATGAACGACGGACTGCCCATTAACCGGCAGAGTTTTGGCGGCTCGTATTCTCGCTTTGCTCGTTTGCGTAATTAATTCATCCTCCTCTTCGAAGTCGTAATGATCCGAATCGATTGGATGGTGACGACGTGGTGACCAGGCGTAAGGAGTTGGCGAGCGTACACGCAGACGGGCGGCCTTCGACGATTGACTATACAGATAAGCCCATTAGCCAAGCGGATTCGAAAGTTTCTGCCGATATGATGGATTGATCCAAGCGGCATCAGTTTCAAAGCGATTACAAATTCTTGCGCGCGCGCGCACGCGAGAGCGAGAAAGAGAGAGGAAGAAAGTATAACACCGAAGAAAGTTTCTGACGATGATATTGACGCCTCGAGATGCGCGTATTACCTTCGATTCGTCGTCTTTAATGCCGCACTGCGCTGCCTCATCTCTTCCTTATCCTTCTCGATCGCGGCTAAATTGCCTAACGAGCCGTGATGAGGTTAGAATTTCGCTCGTACATTCGTTTTACCAAGACAAATTCAGGTGCATTGACAGAAAAAAGCGTATACCGAGAAAGCGATAAACCCATTCGTCTATGTTGGTTTCGTCGCGAGTGGCTTTTTTCCGTGGAGCTTTTGCCGCTGGCTCAGACGTATTGGTCATACTACGAGTTTTCCGCCTGGGCGTCATGTCGCGGAGAAAGAGAGAGAGAGAGCGAGCGCGCAGATAAAGGAAATAAATACTTATTACGAGTTACGTTCTGCAGCCGCCGATGCGTCCCATGCACCGCTTTTTTGTCTCGTGTGATCTAACCGACGCGTTACAAACTTCAATTGCCGATGACAAGTCTGTGAATTCGCGTGCACGAGATAGAGAGAGAGGGACAAAAGCTTTTACGCGGCAGCCGTTTGAAGTTCGCTGTGAGTTGGCACGATTTCACGGAACTTTCTCTTTCAAAAAGTGCTATTGACTTTTATTAATTTTATTGCCGAATTTGAGCGTTACGAAAAATTGCAGTTATGATTTTCAGTTTAATTTATCGTATGTTATTTTAATGTTCAAACTTCAGACGAATTGCATTTTCAACTTTTAATCCACAATTTTTTAAATATTTTGGTACTAAAAGAAGATGTTAAATTGTTAATGAATAATTAAACAAGGAAATACAAAAAAGTAATGGAATTTGACGTGTTTTTTGTACAAGGAAAGAGAAGAAAAGAAGAAAAAAAATGTCAAATAGAAA